GCCGAGACCGATACCGAGAAACGATACTGACCAATACTACAGAAATTTTTACTTTATGTCAAAAAAACATGTAAAAATAATTTATTCATTATTTTCATCATTCAAATCATCAGATGCTCTTCATCATCTGGATCCGATCAGGCTTGGCAATGGATACATATATTTGTGTCCCTATCCGAATAGGTATACCCGTGAGGTCGACATCCGTATCCGTTCATATCCGTAAAACTTTTGAGGCATTTCCATCCGCGGGTATCCGCGGATGGACGAGGTGAAAATTTCGGCTAACCAAAAATTGATTTCAGCGCCGCAGGCAAAAATTTTGAGAATTTCAGAACTGCAAGTCAACAGATTTCTTCCAATTTTGCCATCAAATACGCAGAACTCGATACGCTCATCTCTGCTTTCGATCACTTTAAATCCCCTTAATCCACTTGTGGGAACAACACTCTGCCGAAAATCGGAAGGCTCTGTAATTAAAATCTTGATAACCTAAGGGCCGAGGGCTCGGAAACTCTAGTTTGTTTAAAAACATTGAAAATCAACATTAAAAATAAACAAAAATAAATTTCTTTAAAATAATTAAGACAAAATGTCGAATTTGAAATTTAAAGAGAAAACCACAAAAATCAAAATTTCGAAACAGCTCTGCTGACAAGCAAAGGGCATTATAAAATTTTGTCGCGCTTCTTTGTATTTTAATTTTTTAATTAAGAAAGGAATCGGGTGACAAAGTGCAAGCGTTTAAAAATATTAAACTATAATAAATATACAAACTACAAAATATATTCTATTTCTTAATTAAAGAAAAATCAACAGGCGATTCGAGTCGACAAGTCGATTCGCTTGTTTAATATATTAAAAATAGGCATTTAAAACCAACAAAAATAAATTTTTTAAATAAAATTAGAAGTTATATTTCATAATAAACAAATTTTTGAGTTTCATTTTGTTTTAAATTAAATAACTTTTTATTTTATATTTCCTTCATAATTCTATTAGAATTAATTTTAAAAAATTCTTAATTGAAGATGGAAGCGTCTATTGGGGAAAGGGGAGATTATGGGACTGACTGAATCTTGACAAACTAAACAATTAATCCTTCTCTTTAATCCTCTCTTTAACAATTACCCCTTCTCTTTTTTAATCAATCCCTCAATCTTTATCTTACTATGGGCGGAGTCATTAAGAGTTGCGCCGCGTAAAAGCGGTAAATAAATACTGAGAATTCCTCTCGATTTAATCATTTTTAAAATCCTTTTCAATTTATTTATTTAGTTTATAATAATAATTTATAAAAAATATTAAATAATAATTAACCTTTTTAGCTAGGTAAATTATTCTTTTCTATCATTATATTCTATAGGCCAGAGTCATATAGTCAGCGGGCTCTCTTTATTTTAGCTTTTCTTAAAATGTTTTAAATTTCTAACTTTCTTAACCTCCATATCGGAATATATTTTGAAATTTTTGTTGTGTCCGCGCTTGCAGAAAGAACATAAACGAAAATAAATAACCCAACATCGGGTTGGATGGTGGCACAGTCGGTTGTGCTTCGGTCTGGGCTCTTTCCGTGATGGTTCAATTCCATCTCCCATGCACAATTTTTCCACAGCATGAACATCGGACATGACAAATGGCGCAGTCGCACAGGCCGGGCATAGCCCGAGGAAATTTTAGCGAACCTTACATGCTGTGATGATCTGACATTCTGTCACTGTGGAGAGAAAAAGGAGAAGACCCTGTGAGAAATTAAGAAAAAAAAATGCCTGAGTTGTGATAGGCTAGCCGGTGGTGTGAAGGCTAATATATAAATAAAATGCGTAAGGCGCATGAAGCGCAGCATATGCCACAAAATGGGTTTCTGTGTGTTCTCTCCAAAATCAAAACAGATGATAGTTATTGAAGACAAGCAACAAGCGAGGACGCTTGGTTTCGCAAGGCGGAAGGAGTGTTGTGTCCGCGCTTGCAGAAAGAACATAAACGAAAATAAATAACCCAACATCGGGTTGGATGGTGGCACAGTCGGTTGTGCTTCGGTCTGGGCTCTTTCCGTGATGGTTCAATTCCATCTCCCATCCACAATTTTTCCACAGCATGAACATCGGACATGACAATTTTCTCACCAAAATTTCTGATAGTTTTAACTATCATATGACACCGAAACATATCACCCACAATCATCTCTTTTATTTAATTATCTTCTGTGTTTTCTACTAGAAAATAACTTAACCCATATTATTATGAAGAATATGATGAAAGATTGATTTATTAAAATTTTAATTATACATAATAAATATTTTCAATTAATTTAATATATGTAATATGAAAGAAATATTAAATTCAATTTTAGACAAAAAACAATTAAAAAAGCGCATTCTGCGTATTCTAAATCTGCCCCTTTTTATCGTAGAATGAATCGGCTATGCTGAATCTGCGATTTTGAATCGGGCTTTACAGTATTTTTATAAAATTTCTGAAAAACCAGACTTAAAAAATTTCATCAATTTTTAAAATTCTTTTGAAATTGGAATAAAGATATAAATAGAGAATTTAATTATTTCTTAATAAATATATTATTAAATAAATATTCTTAAAGTGCAATATTTCATTTAAAATAGTAATACCTCATTTTCTTAAGCTAAGGAAAATTGGCCATTTTAGCTTGTTTTATGTATTATCGGTTTATCATTTCCATTTTTGGATTATAATTTATTTATTTAATTAGCAATCTGGCTTAATATTTTCGAAAAACTTAGTGACTGCCTTGTAGCACATGATAGCCCTCTTGTGAAGGGCAATGATATTTTTTAAAGTATTTGAGTTTGGATGTTTATTTAAAGCCAATTTATTTGACATTTGATTCATTTATAGTTTTTTAATTAATAAGTAATTTACCTCTATCCTTTTCTATAAAGCTTTAGAAGCAATCATAATTCTGGATTTCCCTTGTAGATGAATACCAGCTACACTAGAATCCAAAAAGTCTGTCAGAGGGTTAGGAAAACATTTCAACTAAACACAATACATACTCTTAAAATTTTTTCTATTTGAAACATAAAACCGTTGGGTGTGCGCAACTGTAAAAAATGTTGCAAATTTCTAAATTTCATAACCTCATATCGGAATATATTTTTAAATTTTCTTCCCAAAATTTCTGATAGTCCTAGCTATCTATTATCCCGAAGCTATATCTCTCATTTATTTATCTTCCTTGTTTTCTACTAAGAAATAACTTAGCCCATATTATCAAGAAGAATATATTGAAAGATTGATTTATTAAAATTGTAATTATAATAAATATTTTTAATTAATTTAATAATATAAAGGATATAATAAATTCGATTTTAGACAAAAAACTTTTAAAACATGCGCCTACTCGTTTTAGGTGCATTTACCTTGCTTATTGCATTGGAAGAAGCAAAGGCACCTGAGCGATCATCTCGGGGATTGCCAGGAAATTTAAACGTGTATCTGGAACCAAATGATGAGGGGTGCAAAAGAAAGCTTTACGATCCGAAATACCAGTTACCGCTGCCTCGTCAATATACTGGAATCTACAAATGTAAGTTTTCAATGAAAAGCTGTGAATATATGTATCCCTGGTATTTTTGTGCTGGTAAATATTAGGCTTAAATCTCAAAACTGTAACTTGTAATACTCATAGTGCATGACGCAAAAGATGCCAAATCATTTCTTATACATATAAATAATTAAAGCGGCAATCTATCCAAGAGCTACCGTTACTGATGAGGAATTTAATAGAGTCTTGGAAATTCAGAATGGATGGCTAAAAGACATTATGAGTGAGGAGGCCTATGAGGATTACAATAATATGGGCCCTGATAACCATATTGAAAAAATACATGCTCAAAAGCCACACTTAAAAGACTTGAAGGAAAAATCAAAAAAAGTAGCGATTGAAAATAAAGCTATAAAGTTATTGAAAGATATAGATCATGTGTCAGAACGAGAGAAAGCTGTAAAATCGTTAAAAAAGGCGGGATATTCTATTTCGGAAGATGATGATGTTGATAAACTTTTAAATGAATTGAAGGAAAAAGTGGCTTTAAAGTTGGATATGGATCCTGGTCAAGATGTTCCACGTGGTTGTATTATAATTAACGAAGATGGAATTTGTAAAATTGATGTTTGTATGTTTTATTTATCTTATTTTTGAATATTAGAAGACAAATTATTTATTAAATTTAAAATTCCAACGTCTAAAAATATCTACATATTTATGAGATTAATTCGTGTGAAGGTAAATATAGGAGGGATTGTGTAAAAATAACTTTACTTCATTTTGCATATAATACTATAACATTCTTATTTGTTATAGTGACAGCTCTTATGTTTTTATTTTTAATTTATATTCCTAAAAATAATTCTTAATAAACTTTGAGCAATTAATCAACAAACTAAGCTACCCACCGTAAATTTCTAATAAGTTAATTTTTAGCTGGATTCTATAAACCATACAAACCAAATGTGGTTGTAGGTCTCCATTTGAAAAGGGGACATTTGCCAGCAAGTAGTTGGATTAAACCTGATGACGAGGATGTTAAAAAATATAGTGGTTTATGGCACACTGATAGTGAAAAGGATTTGATTATTCATCATGATTATGACAAAAATGAGAAGCGAATACTTGATCGTTGCTCATTTTATGGGTTTGAAAATTCTTATTATTATAAAATCAACTGAAACTAGAAATCAGGATAATAACTCTGAAACCATAGTCCACTTCTTAAACCCCCTACGGATAGGTTTGGAGATGGACTAGCATTATCGTGGAAAGACACAGGCCAGGGAAATACGTGTAACCCCGATAATTTATATTTTTCATTCTTGTATAATGATATCAAGATATCAATCATGATGCAAAATTAAATAATAAAAAATTTATAAATAATTATTAGAAAATACGAGTTGGATGAAAATGGTTATCCAATCAACCCAATTACACGTACTGGTTTTATTACACGTGGAGAATTATACCAATGGGGACCAAGTAAAGGAGTCGGAGCAATTTTATACTCAAAAAGCATAAATGATGAATTTTCATTTCTCGGCGTTATGAATGGGAAGTATGAGAGACCTGAAGGTATACATACTATATATTCTTCATCAAAAAGTAAGGGTTTAAAAATTAAACTCAAGCCAGTCGTAGTATTGCTTAATTGACAATTCTTATAGATAGAAGAATCACTACTCCAGGAGGGTATGTTGATCCAGATGAAGAATTTGAAGATGCAGCAAAGAGAGAATTAATTGAAGAAGGCCTAGCAAATAAAAAGGTAGGGAAAGAAGAAAAAGCTGAATTCGAAAATAAACTGAAAACTCTCATGGGAGATGGAGAACTGGTGATATTTGGCTATAATGATGCGAAAGAGGTGATAGAATTTTAAAGTATTTGGTTCGGTATTTAAATATTTTACAGACAAACACAGACAATGCATGGACAGAATCAGTAACCTACGCTTTTGGAATTGACCACAAAAATTTAAATGAATTTGAAGCAGATCATGGAAGTGATGCAATAAAAGCAATGTGGATGACGATTAAAGTTAATGAAGATTCTTCAGAATTAAAGTTACTAAAGGAAAAAGTAATTAAAGAAGAGGTAAAAGTAGGAAAGGAAGAAAAAGCTGAAGAAATGGAAGTAGATTCGCCAGTTGAGCATATTACATTTGGAGATGTCGAAGACTTTAAATTAAAAAAAGAAAGAGAGTCTAAAGTTAAAGATCTTCTTGATAAAAAAATAAGAAACATGTTCAGTATAGAGGAAAAAATTGCTTTTGTTCTTAAGACTTTTAAGGTTGCTATATTTAATTTTTAACGACACATGCTTTTGTATCTTAAATATAAGCAATTCTATTGCAACAATCACAACAATCACTAAACTTAATTATTTAATTTGACCGATCTTTAATTTTGACCTTTCCTTAAATAAAGTACTATTTTAGGCATGCCGGACTGAATATGTAGAAGAAGGCAAATTAGAAAAAACCGAAGAAATCGCCGACAAAGAAACGGGAGAATCCAGTTCCAGTAAAGCAGAAGAAACAAAGAAGGTTCCAATTGAAATTTGCCTAAATTTGAATGATAAAAAAACGATGAACATGGAAGGTGTTGCTCGTTTATTCCTCGTTAAACTATACGGTGAAATGCCTTATTTGGAATTTCTCGAAAAACAAAAGTCGAATCAGGGAACATATGTAGTCAAAAGCGGAAAAGTACACACTCCGATTATTGGTAGTAAGTATATTTATTAAATTAAATTATTCAATAATGATAGAAAAACGCCTTCATGATCAAGGGAGCGGTAGTCAAAAAGAGAGCGGTAGTCATCATAAACATGAAGAAGGAAAAAAGAGTCCACGAACAAGTTTAAGCCCAAGCAAAAAGCGAGGTGAAAGCCCAACTAAAAGTCATTGAAAATGAGTTTATTTAAAGAGCAAGTAAAAGACTAAAAGAGAGCGGTCTTTTAAGTAAAAAAAAAAGTAAAAACTTGAGCATATTGCTCTATTTCTTCTGTCCACTTTTGCATCATTTTAGCTGTAGTATGACCAGATGCTCACTAATTCTCTTGTTTATATTGAGTTCATGTTTGGTTAAAATATTATTTGGGATCCTTCAAATTATCACATATGTCTGAAAATCTTCAGAATTTTTAAAAAAATAAACAAGAAACTAGAAGAGCCGGTCATTAGAATACTTTACTAGTTATGTAAATATTATTCTTTATGTAAATATTATTTATTTTTCATTACTCTTTTCTTGACAAACATTGTGATTTTTTAAGATTATTTTAGTATGTATAAAACATTTAGCAATTTTTTGGTTAATTTCTAAATTTAAATTAAAATTTAAATAAGAACATAATAGAAAATTAATGAACGATAAAAACGTGAATCAAAGTAAACTAATAATTAAATTATTATTAAACCAAGCCTTATACTTATTTTGTGGAAGAAGAGGGTTTTGCGTCGGGGATTGTCGGAGTAGAGCCTTCGGGGTTCGGGTCGGGGTTTATGACAAAAAATCCTTTGTGGTTCCGGGGATCGGGTTGCTACGCTTGTTGGAACTATTCCCTGAAATATTTGAATATGGTCCAAACATTAAAGTTTAATCTAAACAGCCTTTTCAAGAGAAAATTACCGTATTTTTTGTATTAGAGCCCCACGTTGTATTAGAGCCCCACGCTGTAATAAAGCCCCACTTTCAAGGATAGTTGAAAAATAGAGCCCCACGCTGTATTAGAGCCCCACGCTGAAATAGAGCCCCACCTTTTAAAATTTACCTATTGTATAATAAATTGTTAATTTTTAATACTATACTGTTTTTTTCTTTTATTTAATTTTCTGTGCCAATGTTAGAGATTATATGTGATTAAGAGGATATTTGGGGATTAATAACACCTTAAGCTGCTCCAAATCCTATCCAATAAAGGGATTTGGACGTTATAGGAGAAATCATGAGATTCCTTTATATGCATACTGATAAGCATAGATTTGGCGAGACCAGCTTAGTTATCAGCTGATCCACCTCAGAAATCCTTCGATATCTGATTAATCCCCAAATCATTAATACTCTTCAAATCACTTGATATCCATATTAATCCCCAAATACCTTTTTAATCACATCTATATTCTTCAATTGGGACTGAACCGAGAAATACACACAAAGGAGTACCGTGCGGACTAAAGCAAAATAGAAACCTTCAAAGTCTCGTAGGTAAAATTGCCAGCTCGACCCCTGCTCGAAAAAAGTTAAGAGCGAAAAACTCGTTCGAAAAAATCCAAACTCGAAAACGAACCGAATCGGAAAAAAACAAGCTCGAAAAATGCACCGAACGTCGGCTCGAATCGAAACGCAACCCTACTCGTAGGATTTGAACCTTCCACAAATTAAAATTCCAATTTGGCTTTAAATCCAACTCAAATGCACTTAATCGCGACTTAGTGTATACGCGAACTATCCACTTTGGAGATATCTCAATGTTGAAATTTGCTTTTGTGATTAAATTTCAATTGATTTGAAAAATATAGTTAAACGTATAATTGAAAATTGTATTACGTATTTTCAAAAATTGGTTGAAAAATAAAGCCCCACGCTCTATTAGAGCCCCACGCTGTAATAAAGCCCCACTTTCAAGGATAGTTGAAAAATAGAGCCCCATGGGGCTCTAATACAAAAAATACGGTAATTTAAATTAATATAAAAATGAATTAAATAATTCAAAAATCTCAAGAAAGAGATAAACAATATGTAAATTATTCTTCGTATTTTGTTAATTAATTAACAAAATTTTTAAAATATTTGTTTTGTTTATTTTGTATAAATGTCATACTGTCACATTTTTTGCATAAACAAGGAGGTGTTGGTGCTTCTACAAGTTTTTTCTCCAACAAATTGTTATTGTTCTTTGATAGTGAAGATGCAGAAGAACTTGGGGTTATAAATTAAGTTTAAGATTATAAATTGTGACTACCTATATTCGTATAATAACACTAATATTTGTCTATAATTTTCCGTGGAATTAAAATTAGACCGAAAATTGATCATTAACTGATCTCGAACAAAGTTTTATATTTACAAAATGCAAAGGAACTATTTGAATATGTCTAGACTTACACTGTGGTGCAAAAGTTTATATACACTATGGAAAATTTTCTTTAATGTACCGTATCTCGAGAAGTCGAAGTTTTATCGAGATAATTTTTTTTCGACTAATAGTTTAAAAAGTGCTCTTTCTAATAAGCTTTAATTTTAAAAATAACCCCCGGTACTTATTGAGATATACACCAGTTTCCCAAACTGCTTCAATTTTCTTCGGTGCAAAAGTTTATATACACTTTACAAAAATTGGATTTTTGGAAGAACAAATGGCAGGAAAAATACAAAAAAAATTCGGTGAACATTTTCATCAATACTGAGTAGAAAATAAAAAAGAACGAAGTCCGTAACTGTTTTCATCATCGAGATCTCAAATCACAAAAATCAACGGGAAAACGGGGTACAGTACTTTAAAAATTATTTTAACCCCCCAGGGCTTGTATAAAAATTTTCTTTTGGGCTCATTAGAAAGTCCATAAAATTTGCTATAAGATAGCATAGGCTCAATTTTTCCGATAAAAAATTCATGGAGATAGGGGTCGAGGAATTTAATAACTTATCATTTTTAGTCAAAACCTCCCAAAATACCCCACTTTTTTACTCATGTTTAATTTCACAGTAAGTAACCCACACGTAAATACTAAACAGATTTTTTTACAAATACGAGACCAATGGTATTTTGTAGCAAATTTTATGGGCTTTCTAATGAGCCCAAAAGAAAATTTTTATACAAGCCCTGGGGGGTTAAAATAATTTTTAAAGTACTGTACCCCGTTTTCCCGTTGATTTTTGTGATTTGAGATCTCGATGATGAAAACAGTTACGGACTTCGTTCTTTTTTATTTTCTACTCAGTATTGATGAAAATGTTCACCGAATTTTTTTTGTATTTTTCCTGCCATTTGTTCTTCCAAAAATCCAATTTTTGTAAAGTGTATATAAACTTTTGCACCGAAGAAAATTGAAGCAGTTTGGGAAACTGGTGTATATCTCAATAAGTACCGGGGGTTATTTTTAAAATTAAAGCTTATTAGAAAGAGCACTTTTTAAACTATTAGTCGAAAAAAAATTATCTCGATAAAACTTCGACTTCTCGAGATACGGTACATTAAAGAAAATTTTCCATAGTGTATATAAACTTTTGCACCACAGTGTATGTCACTTGAGCTAGGGTGTGGCACAGTGATGGGTCGGGTCGACGATTGCAGGTTTGCGGGTTTGTAATTTTCCCATTTTCTTATATCTGAAATTATTTGAAAAAGTGTATACGGAGTAATTTTTGTTAAATTTTTATAATTTTTTTTGCGTGCTTTTAATTATATTTTGCAGAATAAATTTGTAAAATTTACCCAAAAATATTTTCGAATTGACTCATCACAAACTGTGCCAAATTTCTAATAAAATTAGCACTGTCTTTGACCATTTGTTTTTCAAATTCACGCATTTCTTGAAAGTATTCTTCAATTTGTTGTTGTTCCTCCGATGTAGGTGTACGTTCGTCGCCATTATCGTAAATTACGCCATCCTAAATTAATTTTAATATTTATTTAAATTTTGTAATTTATATTTTATTTTGAATTATTTTTTGAATAGAAATTATAAAAATTTCTTAGAATTTCTATTTTACTAAGAATGGCTCATAATAATGTAAGCATGTGTGATAAGGTTCCTTTTTTCAATAAATGCTATCAGTGGTAAACCGAATACAAAAGCAAGCTTCGGAGGGTTGCAGATCAGGATATTAAGAGCGAGGGGATTTTTCGTTAAGAAATCGAACCTCATACACGCATCCTTGATCATCACTTTCATTGTCATCATTATCATCTACATCATTAAGATATTTTCCAGTTGTATTAATGTTCATTCCATTTACGTCATTATCCTCCTCAGGAAATTCATTGTCTACACCAGATCCTTCATTATTTAGTTGGTCTTTCTCATCTTCTTTAATTTTTTCTGTTGTGTATTCATTAATGCGGTTATTCTCTTCGTTATTTAACGGAGGCAATGAATTTGTATCATCTTCTTTAATAAATTGTGGGTCTTGAAGATTTCGATTGTCGATCGAATTGGATGGTTGTTGCTCCTGTACAAATTAATTATTTAGATAAAGCCATGTACAATATTTTCTCTAATTAAGCAATGATTTCTATATGAATGCCGTATCAGTAAAGTGCTCATAGAGTGGGGATCAAGGATTTTTGCATTTTATAGGATGATAATGTAAATAATTATAGGTAGCAAATTTTAGATTAAATTTTTTAATCATATTTCTGTATATATAGTTTTCATTTGTTATATCACTAAATCTTAATTAATTCAAAACACTAATTTAGATAGACTAAGAATTTTTTTATTTTTATTATAAAAAATTTCAAAAGTTAACTTTGAGTGATATTGAATTTTTTGAATATGTAGTTATAAAATAATTTTATTCAGTTAAATAATTATCTTTACCTCTTGAACATCAACAGGGTCGGCAAACTCTTCATTGACCGTACTATCAGAATTTCCATTGCCACTATCTCCGCTATTAGAATCTTGAGCAATAATTTTGTTTATAATTAAAAGGAAAATTACAATTTTTAAAAACATTATTTAATTAAGAAACTTGGGGTCTTATTAATTTTAAATGTCAATTGAAGCATTATTTAAGCGTATTTATTATCAAATAAGTAGGGATAAATTAAAGTTTATTTGGATTTTTACTTTTTTCTATTTTGAAATTCAAAAATGACTGAGTAAAAAACATTCTGTTTACTTCAAAATTTAATTTTTTTTAAATTTATCCTTCTTCTATAGCCTTAATTTTAAGCATTATTGGGAAATTTTCAGATGATATTTTGAATGACTAATAAAAATTATTTAAGGGAGATGATTTGAAAAACTGAACAAATAAAATTAATAAAAATTCAAAGTGCAGGTTTATTGGGCAATAATTATTGACTAATAAATTTTAAATTAAAATAATTATTTTGAAATAATTAATTTGTCATCTATTCTTTATTTCCTTCTAAACATTATTTACTTTAATTTTAAATTCTAAAATTTCAAATCAAAATCTAAAAGATTAAGAATATATTTTGTAATTACGATTCTACTTGTTTTATTTTTGCATGATCGATGAAGATCTGAAAACTAGTTGGCAAAGACGAGACCGATACCGAGATTCTCGGCTTTTTTCCAATATCGGTCTCGGTTTTTTCATTCTCGTTCTCGAAGCCGATATTGAAATTCTCGGTCCATTTCTCGGCAAGAAACGATACTGGCTCAAAGAAACAAAATTCTCAATATTGTCCAAAGTAATTTGACAAAGTGTTATAAATTCTATATTTAAGATTTAATTATTTAACTATCATTTATGCCCCTAATTATATAAATGAATTGTTTACACAACATTGTAACTCGCAGAGTAACCGTAGCAACCTTCTCCCACGTATTGAAAATTTCTACAAGACTTATACGCCTCCGTAAAGACTTATACCACCTCAAAAATGTCATTTATTATTAAAATTATAAATATTATTTTCTTGAATTATATAATTAATTAATATGTCAAAAAGGACGAATTGCAGGTGGCAATTAATCTCAACAAATTACCGCCTTAAAATTATTTTTCAAGACAACTTTAAACAAATATTTATTAAATTATTTTAATGGCAGGTGTGTTTAATTGTAAACATAAACAGATTACGTTGATAATAAATAATTTTATTTTATAAAAATGTTTCTTAAGAATTTTTTTTTCATTATCTTAATAATTTTTTATCTAAAAATTTCATAATTAATCTAAAATAAAAGTACTATATACATATTAAAAAATTAATTTAATTATGGACGGCAAGACTTATTATAGTGTAAGTTTATTTATTTGTTTTTTTTCCTAAGGCTAACAGTAGGCGGCGTGGTGTAATGGTTAACATATCAGTCCGATCTACTGAAGATTATGGTTCACTCCCAGCCGCCGATAAACATTTTGCACTAGCTAAAGGATAGAAATAGCTATAGCCCAGCTGCTTTAATTTATTTTGTCTTAAATGAGTATTATTACAAGAGACCGGATTATGGCAGGATATTAACAAATTATCTGAATCAAATAGAATTTTAAAATCTAATTCAAAAAATTTTTACCATAAAATTTAATTTAAAGCCAATCTACTCTACATATAATGAAAAAGGTTTTATGCCAAAATTATTTTTGAATGCTTTATTTATAAGTTTATTTGCATTAATTTCAATCATAATGAATTCAAGTGTTTGTTTTATTACAATAAAATACAGGTATGGATATAAATAAATAAATTGAGATAGTTGTGCTCGCACTGATATAATGTTAATGGAGATAAGAAATTTAAATATCGGGATTTGGTGATTTCATAGTTCATTAAAATTTTGTACAACATGCTTAAAATGGCAGCATTTGATTTGCTTCAAAAACTCCTAACGTAAAGTGAAAAAGAGGTCTAAACTAGGATTGGCAACACATCCAATTTCTGATACCTTTGGCGGGTGCCGGAATTTTGGTCACCGGAATTCTGGTCACCACGCTTTTTCGGAACTTTGGTCACCAATTTTTTTGGAATTTTGGTCACCAGCGGAATTTTGGTCACCAAGTCAAAAAACGGAATATTGGACACTAAAAATTTGGTCACCAAGAGGAAAAAAGAATCTTATCTGAAACTGATATCAAAGTGTTAAAAATATTGTTTTTCAACTCCCAGTTGATCAATTTCTATGTTGATCACTCTGCCAGTTAATCAATCATCCGGTAGAGTGATCGAGAGTGATCAACCGGGCGAGTGATCAGCCAGCAAATTGATAAACATTGAAATTGATCAACTGGGGGATGAAAAATCATTTTTTATCACATTGATATCAGTTTTAGATAAGATAATTTTTTTCCATTTGGTGACCAAAATTCCTCTTGGTGACCAAATTTTCAGTGTCCAATATTCCGTTTTTTGACTTGGTGACCAAAATTCCGCTGGTGACCAAAATTCCAAAAAAATTGGTGACCAAAGTTCCGAAAAAGCGTGGTGACCAGAATTCCGGTGACCAAAATTCCGTACACCCCTTTGGCTGTCCCGCATTTCGCAGAAAATTAATTTAATTAATTTTTAGAAAAAAATATACAGCATTAAAGAGTAATACAAGTATTTTGCTTGTAATTTACGCCTTATTTGAGGTTTTGTTGAATAATGTAATATTTTTTTATTTGGCAACATCGACAACTGAAATTAATTTTCTACCTAATTGGTTATCCAAAATCTATATATTCTATGAAATAACTATATTTAATACCTCGAATTTTATGTTACTTTTAATTAGCATTGATCGCTTATTAGGCGTTACTTTACCTATATTGTAAGATTTAATACATACATATTTAAATCTATTCAAAACAAAAATTAAACTTGCATACATATTAGGAAATTTTAGTGACGGAAATTTTTTAACGCAAAAAATAGAAGAAAACCCGAAACAGATAGAAATTTTATATATTTTTTTTGTTCGAAAATTCCTAAGATCAGGGACGGTATGATAAGAAACGAGGTAAGAGAACCTGGTAAATTTACCTGGTTCTCTTACTCGGGTAGTAGAATACCGAGTAGAGTGTTAACCATTATTCCAGAAAAATCAACCCAGAAACCTTAACCATCTTCTAGGAATATAACCCCAGGTATTTAAAATATGTGAATTACTGATACCCGAAATCTAGAATTTGTTTTTCATGCCAGCCTGATCCGTAATGATTAGGAGTCTATAGACAGTTTATAAACTTAAAGTAATATTAAATAAAAATTTCAGATACAATAACATAAAACAAAAGAAATATATAATTATAAATATATCAATAATAACCATGTACATCATTTTTATCTTTTTCATCATTATTTTGCCAGTATATGAAAAATATGGAAATTTTAAAATAACAGGCAATCCTATGGATATAATGATAATTGTTTCTGCAACCGGTCAAATTCGAAATGTGTTCGCTATAATTATTTGCATCATTACACTAGTGAATTATTTATTTGTTGGTATAATAACAAAGTTCGTAACAGGTACGATTCCTAAAAATTATTATTATTTTCATGCTGAGCAAAAATTCATTGAATGGGGCATGGAATTGTCCATCAAAGAATGATCCCAAACCTAAGCACAATCGAATGCGACACTTTCATTTTTCAACCGAAAATTTTCGGATATCCGGAACCGACACGATATCCGAACCGAAAAACCTATATAACCCCATATAACCCTATATAATCAACCCTATATAACCCTATATAATCAACCCTATATAACCCTATATAATTCTATTAGATTTGCATCATGCAACAATTAAGAAGCTTTATCGATCTCTATATATTATTGTTTTTGTGAATATTTGTACTTTCCTTATTTTCTTTGTCGTAGCAATTCTACTACACTCTGTTCCAAAATTATACATACACCTATATTTTTGGCATAAGTCCGTAAGTTGTTAACGGATTTGAATGAAAATTTAAAAGATAATGCAGAAAGACATTTTGAAAGTATATATAAAATTTGAAAAAATTCTAATTATGCACTCAATATTTACAACTATTTATTTGTAAAATAGGTGTCCCATAAATATACATCCACCTTCCAAAAAAGTTATTTCCGATTATAGGAAAAATCTACAAAAATTCCAGTAAACTTACACATTGATATTATAAAAAAGTAAAAAGAAAGTAGGTCAATATCTTAACCCGAAGCCGAGATCCTGAGACCTCGAAAATCAACGTAAAACAGGGGTTTTCAAATTCAAAAAATATTTTCGACCCCTTATGGTTGTTTTTAAATTCTCATTTTAGGCTCATTCGAAAGCCATTAAAATTTACTATAAGATAAATTTGATCTAGTATTTGAGAAAAAATTTGATAGACAGATGTAGGTCGTTAATTTCCCGACGCTAATTTTATGGGGCATTTAGGCGCTTTTTTCTGCATAAAAAGTTTAAATGCCTGCTTCTCTCATTAAAAATTTTTCTGGAAAATAAGATTGTTGCTATTTTGTAGCAAATTATAAGGGCTTTCGAATGAGCCCGAAATCAAAATTTACAGTAATCCATAAGGGGTCGAAAATATTTTTTGAATTTGAAAACCCCTGTTTTACGTTGATTTTCGAGGTCTCAGGATCTCGGCTTCGGGTTAAGATATTGACCTACTTTCTTTTTACTTTTTTATAATATCAATGTGTAAGTTTACTGGAATTTTTGTAGATTTTTCCTATAATCGGAAATAACTTTTTTGGAAGGTGGATGTATATTTATGGGACACCTATTTTACAAATAAATAGTTGTAAATATTGAGTGCATAATTAGAATTTTTTCAAATTTTATATATACTTTCAAAATGTCTTTCTGCATTATCTTTTAAATTTTCATTCAAATCCGTTAACAACTTACGGACTTATGCCAAAAATATAGGTGGATGTATAATTTTGGGACAGAGTGTAGTTGGATTTTCAATAGAAAGCGGCATAAATGAGGAAATTTGGTTTATATTATCATATTCTACAATTATATACTGTTTTGGTTCGGCTTCAAATGCACCAATACTTTTTATTAATAGGTAAATCTTATGAGTTTACATAAAATAATTTAGAAATTAAATTAATAGTACTGACTACAGAGAGGCTTATTTAAAGGAATTTGCTTTAATTAAATCTTTTTTCAAACGTATATTCAATAATTCTGTGACTCCGTCAACTGTTAATGCCGTGGATAATATGCAAAATTAAGCAAAAATAATTTCATTTAAACAGTATAGTGTAGTCAAAAAGACACTTAAAAATAAAATTCAAAAATAAAATTTTTTTCAAAGATTTCGAAACAAATATTGTTTAATCTTAATTTACTTGTAAACCCTATAAAGAATAAAAAGAATTATATAATTGAAAATTGATTTGAACTTCTATTATAATTTTCCTTTTCAATAAATTTTATTTATATTCTATATCCTCTGCCTTAATCCATGACTCTTTTGCTTCCGTTCACAACGTCGTCTTAAAATCAGATTAAATAGAAAATTTTAATTAATGAAAATATTAAATTTACCTAAAGTTCCAGTGAATTGCTTTAAAAATTTTGAAAGAAATTAAATTTAAAATTAGCCAAAAACCTGACTTTCATGTTCTTCCAGTAACATTTTTCCCAAGTTTTGATTCATTGATGTGTTTGAATTTTCTGTGAAAAAACCATTCTGTTGATTTAATGTCATGTTTGAATTGTATTTTTCTTGAGAATTTTGGGACACAGAAGGAATAAATGTTGGGTTACTTGAAGTGTTTTCATTCATCATTTCAAATAAAGTTTTCTCAGGAGTATTAGGTTTGAAACTGTGTTGCAGATTGTTTGGTGTATTTTGAACTAATTGTTTGTTTTTTAGGTTTTGCATTAGAAGAAGTTGATGAATTTTGTCCAAATCTTGAAAATCCTTTAAATTTTGTTGTTTAATATTTTCTAAAAAATTTTCCTTTTGCAATTCAGTTGCTGTTAAATGATCAAGGTGGTTACTACTTTCTGCCATTAATTGTCGGTTATGTTGGTCAAAAATAATAGAATTTCCATAATTATGCAAATTCATCTTATTTTGTTCATTTAGTTTTATTCCTCCATTATTTCCAAAATTTTTTGAATAATTATTTAAATGTTGCTTAGATTCAAATCCATTCTTTAACTGTTCCAAAGCTTTATTATGATTCTTAAAAAATTCAAGAAACTCTTTTTGACTCTCATAGTCATTTAGAATAACTTGCAGAGTCTCCTTAACAATTGACTTTTGCCTTGCAAATTCGTTTTTTGTTTCACTCACTAAGGTATTCACGCTATTATGATTTTGTTTAATTAGATTTACATGCTCTCCATGCGTATTTTTTGTGTGATTTTCCATAGTTGAATCTTTTAAAACTAAATTATTTATGCTGTTACTATGTTCTCCGATAAATTCTTGGCTGCGTTTGGGAACAATAGAAGGATGCCCAAAATTATGCAAATATTCATTCATATTTTGAATTTGTTGAATTTCCAAATTTGAAGATCTATTCACTTCATCAAATTTACGCTCTGAGTTTTGATGCGGAATATTCTCTAATTCTTTTGGGTTAGTAGCAAAATTATTTTGTACACCTATTTATAATTTGATCAATGTTATTTAGTGATTTCTTTAATTTTTTCACTATTCATTTAAATTGCTAGGAGTTTATCCAAAGATCGATCAAGTGAGACAACCATTTACAATTCGGAATATGTTTACGAATTTAAATTTAATAAACGAAACAACCATGAATGTTGTATATTCCATCAATACTTGCTCTGTGATTATCATAGTAAATATTTTGCTGAAATTGTTGATCATAATTAGAACTTGATGGTCCTACATTTGCAAATGATTGGTTGACAAAACCTGTAGTATTTAGCTTTTGTTTCTGCTTAAACTGATTTTGTTGATAGACATGTTGAAAATAGTTTTGGTTGTACATTTGTTCAACAGGCAAGCCGGTATCTTTAAAGTTTAAAAGTTCAATGAAAATTATGTATCAGATTGAAATATCTTAAAATATGTGGATTCAATTGATATAGATAATTATAAAACATTCAATGTCTACTTTACATCCTAAGGTTTTTTATTTCAACAAATTCTTCAGTTAACTGAAGCGCATAACAGAAGATTAAAATAAGATACTTAAGAAACGATAACTTTTAATATCAAGTTAACTCTAGAAAATTTTTTTAATCAAATTATTCTTCTACTAATTTAAAGTTTAATAAAATTATTACACTTCATGACTTGATTTCGGAAATTTTCAGTATCAACACTAATAAATGTCGTTGGTGGTCGTTGTTTTCTCTTTCTATTTCTCTCTTAAATTAATAAATAAAATATGAAATTTAAAAATTGTAAGCAAGTCATTTATTATCTAGATAAATTTTAGTTGGCACTATTTTAAAGAAATTTATAATGATAAAATGACATTTCAAAATTGTTCTTTGATGGAGTTGCCCCTGAAGCAGACTAGCATTATTGCGAAAAGCCGTTTGAAAATCCGATGTAAATTTAACGCTTTTATTAAGAAGTTTAGTCACTAACTTCTTTTTTGATCCGGCATTTGTGCATTTATTTGTGATGATTCAGGCATTATAGATGGATTTACACTTGAATTTTGTCCAAGATTTTGAGTTTGCTCATTTTGTATATGATGATCATCAGAAAAATTATTTCCAATATTTTCATCTACGCAATAAAAAATATTATTTTGAATGAGAATATTTAAGAGAATTAATCGAAATAATAAAATAAAGATCATTTCCCTGAAATAAAATTAATATTTTTAGATCTTTCTACATTTATTTGTCAATTAAAGCTTTATTTAAAATTGTATTTTTAATTTAATTTATAAAAATGATGCAAATAAAAATTTATAAATCATTTTCACATGATTAGACATAAATAAAGGGCAAATGCCGGGCCAGGCTTTTGAAAAATAAAGGGCAAAATGCCGGGCCATCCTTTTAAAATATTATTCTGCCGACTTATTTTGTCGGCAAAAATATATTCAAAGCTTTAGCGGCTAAAATATATTAAAGAAAATTTATTTTAAATTAAAAGGCGATGTGAGAAAAAGTGCAAATTCTGATAAATATTTTCTGTGAAATGCATGTGATTTTATAATGAAGATGATTTCAACATGTTTAAGAGCATTCCCAGAAATAACAACAATAATTGAAACACAAATATAGTAATTCAATTCTAAGTAAGTTAATAATGATTACTCTCATTTTAAACTTTTGAGGAATTTAAAATTTATGTTTATCCAATTATGTTAAAAAAATAATGTAACAAATAAATTATAAAAGTGTTTATACAAATGTTTTTGATACATACATAGACAATTTAAATCAGGACAAATGAAGAATATTATATTATAGCCCTGACCAAGACGAAAAATCTTATGGAGATCTAGATTGTTCGAGATCTCAATTCTCGTAATCTCGAAAACAGTCAGGGCCTTAATTAATATTGTGTTTTGCATAAATATTTATCAGAATGATAATGGATGTAAAAAAGTATAAAAGGATGAGTTATAGCTTTCAACCATAAAAAACCGAAGATTTTTGCTTCGGATTGTTATCTCGGCCTCGCTTTACCTATGTGATTTTCAAAGCAAAAATTTTTAAATGATTTTGGAGTAAAAATAAAATTAGATTAGATTAAATCTTGCAATAAATTAAAATCAAGGCCTGATGTATTGCTAAAATCAAAGTCAAAATCATCCAAATCTATTTGATTTTCCACCTTTACATCAATATCCCCAACTTGAATATCAAATAAACCAATAAATTCAGCGCCCAAAAGCTCAGTTTTTTGTTTAGCAGTTTCTGTTGAAAACAATCCTTTACTTAAATACTTTTCTTTCATTTTTCTATTTTTGAGCATTGCGACTTCATTATTTGGACCCAAAG